TGTGTAGTGCCCATTATTAATTCAGGAATTCAGGAAGTAGGGTTAACTTAGAACTTGGAATGGGGTGAGGAGGGTGCATCTGAGGAGGTGAGGAGGAAGGAGGAGGTCTGGAAGTGGAGCTGTGGGAGACCAGGAAGCAGGCTGCTGGCTGCAGGAGAGCAATGGTGCTGGGCATTACAAGCAGAACAGGAATGTATCGTAGAGGATCTTAGGTTCCAGACAAAGGAGGGTGGGCAGTGAGGACCTGGGAAGAATGAGACTGCAGGAGGCCCTGGAGAGGAAACCAGAGGTGCTCGTGTTCTGAGCCTCTGGACTCCCGTCTGCAAATTCCTCCTCCCCAGACACAATAGTGAGGCCATTTCAGGCACAAGTTGCACAGGGCCGTGTGCCTGCTCAGAAGCTGGTGCTCATGCAGGGCCAAGGTTGGGTAGGGTAAGAGGAGGGGAGCACACTGCTCAGGGCCAGTTTAAAGGGAGGACCAAAACACTCAAAAGAAATGAGACTTTAATGCACTGCTTTTTAAAAAATCAAAAATTAATGCCAGCAGGACATGGTGGCACACACCTGTCATCCCAATATGGAGGAGGATGAGACAGGAGGATCACTGCAAGTTCAAGGCCAGCCTGAGCTACATAGCGAGACCTCGTCTCAAAAAAAAAGCCAGGGATTTAGCTCAGTGGTTCTTCCCCCTGCCTCTCAAGCGGAAGGACCTGAGTTCAATCCCCAGCACCAAAAAAAAAAAAAAGAAAAGAAAAGAAAAAGAAAGCCACATAAGGTCTTAAAATTATTGTAATTTAGTCCATTGACACAACCCCCTGTATTCATTAGCTTTTTCACTCTACAAACTGTCTGATTACCCATCCATCTTTCCTTCACCCATCCATTCACTCTTCCACCCATCCATCTAATCTGCCCATCCATCTGATCATCCATTTAGTTGTTCGACCATAAAGCTATTTCTCCCTACTCATCCATCCCTCCTTCTGTCCATCCATCTATATATGTAACCCCAATCGACAACCACCATCCACCTATTTACCCAACCTGATATCCTCCTATTATACAAAACAGCATATAGGGCCAGGGATTTAGCTTAGTGGTTTCGCCGCCTGCTGCACAAGCGCAAGGACCCAAGTTCAATCCCCAGTACCAAAAAAAAAAACAAAAAACAGCATATAGACATGAGAAGCATTCACCACTTATCAACAGGCCTAAGTCTGTCTGTCTTTCTTTCTGCCTCAGTTTCTTCATCTGGGAAGCAAGTATGTGTGTTTACAAGAAGCTTCACAGGGCTCTGTGAGCATTAAATAACAAAATCTCCCACTTACAGGGTGGCACACAGCTATAACCCTAGCACCTGGGAGGCTGAAGCAATAGTGTTGTGAGTTTGAGGCCAGGCTGGGCAACTTAATGAAATGCTGTGTCAGAAAACATCCATGTAGACAGCAGCTGCAACACAGTGTTATTGGAATCAGAAACAGAGCTGGCCACAGGCCCAGCAGTCTTCTGTGAAGTGGCCTGAAAGACAGAGAAATTCACCAGGCATGATGGCACATGCTTATAGTCCCAGCACTCAGAAGACTGAGGTAGGAGGATTGCCCTGAGTTCGAGCCCAGCTGGGCTACATAGTGAGTTCAAGGCCAGCCTAAACTACATAGTGAGACCTTGCCTCAAAAAAAAAAAAGAGAAAGAGAGACAGAAATCCATGGCTAACAGATGAGAGAGGGTAGAGTTGGGGAAAGAAGAGAGAGCATGGAACATGAGACTTGTCCTAGGAAGGACAAATGGATGTAGGCAGTGGACAACCAGCTGGCAGGAGGCATCCTGCAGGCAGGCAGTTGGTGGCTACAGAATCCAAGCATGGCTGACTGGATGTTGGCCCCTCTTGAGGCCCCAGGGATCCAGGCCTGGAAGGGTGGAAAGGTCTCAGGGCTCAGGGCTCTTTCAGTTCTCTGCTGCCTTAGGGCAAACTGATAACTCAGTGGAACAAAAGTCTGGTTTCAGTTGGTCAGGGGTTTTTATCCTACCTATAATCAGTTGTGAATCTGGCCTTACTGCAGGACCTCACCCACACAATGGAGATAAAGAGTGAAGATTAACAAATGCAAGCATTTGGAGCAGGTTCAATATATCCCTGCACCTGGAGGCAAGTCCTGTGCTCAGCCTCTTGTCCTCCAGTGGACCAGGCCCTTACACCAGTCCAGATCTCTGTCACCAGAGCCACTGCCAGCTAGGCCTTTACCTCGAGCACAGGTCTCCTGCTGCTGCTAACCATTAACACAGATTTAGAGGCTTAGAACAACACACATCTATTCCACAGCAGTTCAGTGGATTGTGTAGACTGGGCTGCTTCCTCTGCTCAAAGCCTCACAGAGCAAAGTCAAAAGGCCAGCCAGAGTGCATGGCTTCCTCACAGGCAGGAGATTAGAGCATGGCAAGGAGGCTGGCCAATAGGGTGTGACTCACCAATCACAGAGAACAGGAAAGGAGGCTGGCCAATAGGGTGTGATCTGCCAATCAGGGAGAGCTGTCCGATCAAGGTTTCCTCTGACATCAAAAGAGGACTTTAGGGCCAGGGAATTAGCTCAGTGGTACATCCACCTGCCTCACAAGTACAAGGTCCCTGGTACCAAAAACAAAGAACAAAAAAAGACAGCGACTGGGGGTCCTTGTGGTCACTGTCCTCTTACTCCAGTGACCTGTCTTGCTTGCAGGGTGTATTTTCTCTCTTCTTCTTTTCACTTCTATTTCTTTTCTCTCTTTTCACTTCTTTCTTTCTTTTATCTTGACTACATAAAACTGCTATGTTCATTGGTTGTCTTCATCCAGTTGTCCTAGGGAAACAAGAACCTGGAACCATGCACAGCCCAGCATCCAGAACACTCAGCCTTTGGAGGTGCATCACTTCCAAGCTTACTCAGGTTGTTGGCAGGGTTCATTCAGTTTCATGCAGTTACAAGACTGTGGTCCCAGTGTCTTTGCAGTTGCTGCCTAGGGCTGTTCCCAGCTCTCAGAGGCTACCTGCTTGCCTTAGCTTGTGCCTCCTGCAAAGCCAGCTATGGTGGGAACAGACCTTATGACTCAGGATTCTGCCTCAGCCCTCCTCTTTCTCTGACCTCACTTTCTGCCCCCTCTCTTTGACTCCTCTCCTTTCCTCTTCTCCTTTTAAGGGCCCATGTGATTACACTGAGCCCAAAATAATCCTGTCTTAGTGTCAGTGGATTTGGACCTCAATTCCAGCACAGAGTCCCTTCACAGCTGTACACAGACTGTGCCTGAATAAGCTGGAGACAGCCACCTACAGATTTCACCACCAGCACGGGCCCTGCTCGAGGAGATGGCTGGCTGGAGCCAGATGGGCGGGTAGCCGAGAACAGAGCACAAGATGAGTGTCAGGTTTGGGGTGAGTCACAATTCCAGGGTCACATGAAGGTCCCTGCCACAGGCATTTATTTACCCATAACTTTGAGGACCAGGGAAAGCAGATCCATACTTCTTTTACAGATGGAAACACTAAGGCTCACTGAAGGCAAACCACTTGCTTAGGTCACACAGGGAATCTGTGGTAGGGGTAGGACCACACATTGATGCCAGCTGACCAGATCAGGGCCCTGCCCCCCGACACCTCAGCACCCAGCACCTTGGTCCTCCAACATGGCCCATGATGGAAGGTCACTGTGGACCCCACACAGGGCCAGCTCTGGGGCAAAGGTCTACCAGGTGTCCAGGTGGCCAAGACAGCAAGGGACACAGCATTCCCAGCCCCTCTGGTGGGCAGGACAGAAGGAAGATGGCTTCACCCTGAGGCCAATGATGGTCCCGACACTAACCCAGAGTCATTTCTGAGACTCCTGTCTCAAAGCACAGGGGAAAATCACACCCAGGAGGATGTCCAGAAAGACCTGCTTTACCTGGAAATACAGCTGCTCCTCACTTCTAGGGGGGCCACATCCCAACACACCTCTCACAAGGTGAAATATTATAAGTCAAGAATGCATTGAGCCAGGCCTGGTAGCTCATGCCTGTAATCCTAGTGCTTAGGAGGCTGAGCCAGGAGTATTCCCAGGAGTTGGAAGCCAGCCTGGGCTACCCAGTTCAAGGCCAGCCTGAACTACATAGTGAGACCTTGTCTCAAAAAACAAATCAAAATAAAAAGTGCATTGAATACACAGAACCCACTAAATTCCACAGCTCAGCCTAGCTTACCTTACACAGGCTCAAAACCCTGTGTTAGCCTGCAGCTGGGCAAAATCGTGGAAAGTAAAGCTTGTTCCATGAGGAGGTTCTGGCCACTGTGTGATCAAGGGATGCAGCCACTTGTGGAGGGATGGTGCTGCTGATCCAGACTATCTCCACCACCAGCCTGGGAAAGCATACAAATTCAGCTGGAATCGAGCTTCTACTGAGCTGGGATCTCTTCGCAGCCAGGAGAGAGCCCAGACTACTTGGACCACCAGGGCAGCACAGTGGGTGCTGCTGCCCAGTTAGAAGAGTGCAGAACCCCTAGGAAGCAGGAGGACGCGCCCATCAGTCCCGGCCAGTTTCCCTGTGTATAAACAGACTCAGGAGCTCTGTTCCCCATCCTGAACTTGAAAAACGAAGTTTGAAAACAGGTCCTGTTAATCTCAAGGTCAGACCTTCATCTCCGGGCTTCCCTCTTTCTTCAGGTTTACAAAATAAACAAGATGGCCCAGTAACTGCTCCTGGTGTGACTTCCTCCAAAAAGGACCAAAGCCTGCTGACAGGGAATGGTGGGGACACAAGGGCTGTCTCCTTCCTCTAGACCCAGGGGGACGCGGTCAACTAGGAGGCTGAGGGGGGCCGGGTGGGGGTGGGGGTCGGGGAGGTCGGTGTTAGGGTCCCCAGGGCACAGGGCGAGGCACCAGGGGCGCCCGAGAGTCCTCTCCATTCGGAGCAGAGCTGAGCTGTGCTGCGGGGGCGGGCGGGTGGAGGGAGGGGCCGCGTCGCAGTTGCCCCACCCCACCCCCCGCCCCGCCTCACCCCGGCCACCCGGGCCACCCCGGCTACCGCCCCCGGCAGAGGCAGAGCAGCCGCAATGAGGGCCACGCTGTCCCTGCTCTGCGCCACCTGGCTGCTGGTGTTCCCGGGCCTCCCCGCCGCTGAGCTGCAGCTGAGCACCTTAGGTACGGGGTGAGGGGACACGGTGACTGGGGACCGGGGATCCCGGGGCGGGGACGAGGGACCCAGGGCGGGGTGTTTCATGCCTGGCAGCGTGGCCCGCAGCTCTCTGTCTCCACTGGGGCAGCCGGTCACACAGGTGACTCGGATCAGCCCCTTCCAGAGCCACGGCCACCTCTTCTATGCCAAGCTGTGGGCCTGGGCAAGGGGTCCCCTAGTGCCCTACGGTGCTCTGTAGAGTGGGTGGGAGGGGCTGTGGTGCAGGCCACGACTCCTGTGCCACAGCAATCTGAGTCTGCCGGCTTGGTGGGAGGTGCGACCAGGCTCCCAAGTCAGGTTGCCTGTGGCTGCCCCCTCTTCCCCTGCTGTCCCCTCCTGCTCTGCTGCCTCCTGCCTGGCCCCCTGCTGCCCTGGCCTCAACCTTAGCCCTGCAAGACCGCAGGCACTGGGCACCCGGGACTGGAGAGGAGAAGCCCAGGACCAACCTGGGGGTGGTCAAAGGTCACAGAGGCTGGTTCTGACCTCATTCCTCCCCAGCTGCCAGCCTGGTGACCTTGGAGGCATTGGGGAAGCCCAGCAGTGCTTTGGTGAGGGCTAATGCAGAAAGCTGCCTGGACTCTCAGCCAGCTAGCAGCTGCTCTAGCTTTGTGGTTGCGCCACTTGGTCTCTGCCTCAGTCTCTGACTCTGCTGTTGTGGGGCAGCCGAAGCAGCCGTAGATTGTGTGTAAATGAGTGAGCCCTGCTGTGTGTGTATGAATAAACATTATTTATGGATACTGGTGCTACAAAATATTACTACTCTTCTCCCCCGCAACCAGTTAAAAATGTAAAAAGTCATTTAAGCTCCTGGGCAGGACAAGAGGAGGCGCGGGCTGTGGCTTCCTCAGCTCTGCTGTGGACCCTTCAAAAAACCATAATCAATTGGGGCAGAAGCATAATGAGTTCAAAGCCAGCCTGGGCTGTATAGCAAAACCCTGTGTCAAACACCAGAATGCCGTGGTAGGGCTGGAGTGGGTCTGTGAGAGTGAAGCATGTGACCCGAGGATCATTCTGGCCCTGCTCCCAGGTGCTGTGCTTTTCCTTCTGCTGAGAAGTAGCCCTGCCTGGGGTTTTCACAGTTGCCTGTTGCTTTGGAAACCTCAGAGCATAGATCCCAATCCTGACCTCCATCCCACTGTACACTTTGGTCCTGATTGAGGTCTGTCTTCTCAGAAGCTCGGCTGCAGGACTTGGAGTCCCCTGAAACCCCACCTGAGATATGCAAGAAGGGGGTTGAGCAATTTCTTCCCAGGAAAATGGTCAGAGCTCAGTCAGCTTCTAGAACAGATTGGGACCAGAGAGAAACCCGAGTGCTGTACAGCAGTGAGCTGAGCACAGTTTTCAGGGAATCAGTTTCCAGACCCTTTGCTTCCAGTATCTGTAGGTTTTTAGTGAAGCTCTTATTGAGATATCATAAAGTAAGTACTTTAATGAATTTTCACAATGAAAGCACATTTGTAGAACCAGCACCTCACTGAAGCAAAACATTTCCAGAAGTCTTGTGTCCCCACTGAGGATAACCACTATCTTGACTTCTGATGCCATAGCTAAAAAGTGTATTATGGGGATTGGACTGAAGTTTAATGGTAGAGAAATGTTTAAAATGCTGGAGGCCTGGGCTCCATCACTGGCACCAAACAAAAAAGATAGTTTTTCAGAATTAGTGTGGGATACCAAAACAGGAAGAATTTGAGTTCTTTTTTGTGCTAAGCCTTAGTTAGGTAACATCTTTGGAGTTTTAAATTTAGCCTAGTTTTCTAAAATGCAAATCAGCTCTAAATTGTAATACTGGGTTGGAAACTCAGGTTTTTCAGCGAGGTGCACAGATCTAATTTTTTTTTCTTTTTACAGAGAATTTTCACTTTAAGTCATGGATGATGCAGGTCAGTGCCCTACTTCTTCTTTCTGAGGTTTTTCATTTTGCAAAGTTTCCTGTTACACAACCACACTCTACCAGATTTGAGACAGTAAAGAGGGATTTTCCAGCCTTGACCTACCTTGGGTCTTTCCCAGCTTCAAATTGGCCAAACATGAGGAAAGATACAGTTAAATAAAACTCATTCCAAATGGTGGTCCCAAACAGATGGCTGCAACCTTGGAAGTCTTTCTATGTTTCACATTCAAAGCACCTTGCTTTGTGGCTGCAGAAACACCCTTTCAGGCATCTTTGGAAGGTGATCATTTTTCCCATGCAAGTGGCTTGGCCCCACCCTGGCTTCAGGGGACCTGCAAAAGGCAGGCTTCTTCACAAGACCTCCTTTTCGGGCAGCTGGCCATGGGACCTTGAGCACTGTGACACTAAGAAAACCTCCATCTCCTCCCAGAAAACAAAGGACTTTCTCTCCAGTGAGCTGCACCCTGTTTCCATGATCTGTTGCCCATGTGTTTTGTTTTAGCATCAAAAGGAATACAGCACAAAGGAGTACCACCACAGGCAGCAGATATTTGCCAGCAACTGGAGGAAGATCAATGCCCACAACAAGGGGAACCACACATTTAAAAGTACATGAGGACACAGTTCCTCCAGGCTGCCTGGGCAGAGGGGTGGGAGTAGCCTAGATCTGTAAAGAAGCTCAAAGCTTATGGGTATGGAGCAGAGGCCAGGACTCTGAGGTGTGCTTGGCTGACCTTGGATTGTGGGGTCCAGGGTTGTAAATGGAACAGTGCTGGGACCCCTTAGGGTGGCCGTGACATGGACAAGAGGCTCTAGAGAAGCCCCTGCCCCTTTCATGCCAGGCCCTACCTAGACCAGCTGCATCTGTCAGCATCAATATTGAAAACCCCCCTAGGCAACTCTGAAGCATAGGTAGGATTTTCCCTGGTATGTTGAATCAAATTACATTTTAAAAAAACATAATGGATTCTAGCGCCTGTCTCACAAGCCCAAGGTCCCAAGTTTGATCCCCTGTACAAAAAAAAAAAAAAAAAAAAATATATATATATATATATATATATATATAAAATGGAGCCAAGTTACAGGGGTTATAATAGAACACAGGTAAACACCAGGTTTTACTCACTAAATGTCTCTGTTTTTTCCCCTCTTCTCTTTTTCAGTGGCACTGAATCAATTTTCAGACATGAGCTTTGATGAAATAAAACGTAAATATCTTTGGTCAGAGCCCCAGGTAAGTGTAGTTTGTTGCAAACAGATCTGGATCTTTTCACTGAGACCTTTGGAATAACTTTGAAGGTGGTTCTGCTTCCAGCTAGAATCAGTCCTGTCCCCAGCCGCAGATGAGTGTCCCCATGTCTTCAGGGAAGGGAGAAGGCTATCTCACTGTTGCTTCAGTCTGACCCTGGGCCTTAGCATCTGAACCCCTGATGTAGGTTACCAGATAAAATAGATGCCTAGTCAAAGTTGAATTTCAGATAAACAACATAAGTTTTAGCATGCCTATATTGTAAATATTGCAACGATGTATTTACATTACCTGAAATTCAAATTTAATGAGGAGAACAGTACTTTTATTGGCTGAATCTGGCTACCCTTTTCTAAATCTTCCAGTCTGGGCTCTGAAGCATTTGCAACGTATAGACTGCGCAGAGATAGTTTTGGTACCTGTCTGTAGTCTTTCTTAGTCACTCTTGGTGGTTCCATGTCTTTTGGCCAACAAAACAGGGGAAGGGAGTTGTTTGAGTTTTTTTTTTCCCCTGAAAATAATATATTTGGTTATTCCAGAATTGCTCAGCCACCAAAAGTAACTACTTTCGGGGTACTGGTCCCTACCCAACCTCCGTGGACTGGCGGAAAAAAGGAAATTTTGTCTCAGCGGTGAAAAATCAGGTACGTGTGGCCATCTCTCACCTTTCCCCCAAAATAGCCACATTGTCAGACAATATGCCAGGCCAGAAATGCATAAGAGCCACAACAGCACTGCAGCTGTATCCCTTGAGCTGCTTTTCCCTCACTGACTCTCCAGCTCTCTTTTTCTGCAAGGCCAGGAACTCATTGCTTTGTAAGGCCCTCTGGAGCATGAAATGTGCCTCTTACTGGGCTAAAGTTTATTCCTTCCCCTGGCCACCACCACACACCCCCAGTTTTTTTCTCTGTGACTTCTAGTTCTCCCCTGCAGATCCACTCTCCTGCCTGTCAGAGGCTGGATGCCAGGACCCCATCCTAGTCCCTGTGCCTTTCCTTCCCCTGTCCTCATCCATTCCTCAGGCACCAGGCTGGAGCCACCCCTGGCCACCTGCTTCTCTTGGGTGGGTCCAGGTGGTCTGTGAGCTCAGTGAAACCTAGTGGTGCCCCCAGGCATGGGCCCGATGTAGTGGAGGTGGCCTCTCTGTGGGCAGATCATCCCCTACAGGGCAAAGCCAAGCAACACACACACACACACACACACACAAACACACGCATGCTTTCCCTCTAAGTGGCTATGCTGTGACACTTTTCAGAAAAATGCTGACCTCTCAATCGCAGGGATACAAGGTTAAGATTAAGTTTCCTTCCTGGACATACTTGGCTTGCCACAAAAACTTTCCATGGGAAACATTTTTTTCACTTTTTAAAAGTCACATGGTGCAGCTCCAAGTCCTGCCAGATTTCCTGTGTCCTGGAGCCTGCCCTGTGCCTGGGTGTTTGAACCAGCTCCCCACAGCAGAAAATTCAGGAGAAGGAAGGCACCTTCTAGTGAACTCCGATTGTAGAGCCTCTGAGAATCTCAGCACTGGGCCGGGGGGGGGGGGGGCAGGGGAGGTCTGGCAAGTGTCCCCAGTCCTCCCATTAATGAATCCCAGGCCACCAGACATGACTGAACAGGCATCGCTCTTGGAGGTGGAGGTGTGAGGTGTGTCACCTTTGTGCTGGGTGTGTGGTGTGTCTCACTTTACAGAGGGAGACTGTGAGAGTCTAGGATGAGCAGCAGGTGACAGGACCAACATCAGGTTCTGTTCCAAGTCCAGGCCCTGCTGTGCCTCCTTTGGCCAGCAGAGTTCTCCCCACTGTGGCTGAACTGCCTCTCTGAAGCTCTGCTCAGCTCTGTCCAGCTCTGCCCTCCCTACTGAGGAGAGAATTTGAGAGGAAGAGACAAAGGGAAGCTGCTGCAAAGGATCTTTCCAGGGAGACAAGCTGGGAGGACAAACGTGGGCCATGACATGGATGGGGGAGGAATGTTAAGAGGCATTTCATAAGTAGAATGTGGAAGACAGAACAAGCAAGGAGAAGAAAAGAGATAAAGATATGTGACATTACTGGACCCATTACTGCATAGCTGCTTTGTAGGGAACAGGGGAAGGGGACGTTACCAGGGGAAGGGGACATTACCAGAACCTCTGCAGTGAGTCCTGGTCTCCTTCGAGCCAGGACAGCACATGGCGAATTACAGGAAAGGTAGACAAATGAGAAGAAGCTGAGCTTTGGGTCTGATCAGTGCTGCTCTAGGGAGCAAAGACAAAAGCCCCCTAGCTTGCAGCACTTTTTATTCAGTACCTGGGGAAACAGATGTAACAAGTGAAATGCAGAGCTCAGTACTTTACATTGGGATAAACAAGGTGTAAAAAGACGGGGGGCAGTGGAAATCTAAGAACAAGGAGGAACTATGCAGATGAAGATTTGGTTTCTCTCTGGTGTCTCCCGAAGGTGTGGTCTTGTCCTGGAGCATTACAGCATCCGGGGATCACTGAGGTCTCAGTTGTGACCCGAGGCCAAAATGCAGTTATGTCTGGAATGTCCTAGCTGGCCTGTAGGCAAGAGAACTAGGCCTACTCAAATGATTTTTCCCTAGAATTATGTAGCGTTGCTCCCAACACTGCTTAACCTGAAACCTTCCCATCTACAGAGGAGAAAGCTGGCCCTGCCTGGGTCTACAAACTAGTGTGTGCAGAGCTACAACATGGACCAGGCAGGCTGGTGCTGTACCCGATGCCTGGCCCTGTGTTATCCTGGAGGCCAGGCAGCAATGACTGAGGCAGAAGATGGTGGGAGAGTTGAAGAGGTGGGACCCTAAGCCCAAGGTCAGGGATGTCTGGTGGGCTCGTCTGGAAGTAAGTCAGTTTTATGTCTGGGCTTGGATGAAAATCAGGGCTGAGGTTTGGGCTCCAGTCAGGATAGAATGAGATTGGTGGTGGAAAGATCAGAGAAGTTTCTAGAAACACCTTTGGTGACACCTTCTGCTAGAAAACTGAGTAGAAGAGGAGCCAGCAAAAGGTACAGAAGTAGGAAAGCCAGGAAGGAGACCACAGAGTGGAGTCAGGAGAGCCCAACCTTTGTAGAATGGTGGGATTGGCCAACAGGAGGCACTGTTGGGAGTCCCTGGCACTGGTCAGAATTGCTCCTCCAAGGCCTGGGTTGGAACACTGGTAACACAGACAGGGACACCTGCCTCTCAGAGTGGATAAAGCCACTGCAGAGACACCAGGGAGGGCCCTAGGGTAAGTGGAGAGGCCAGAATCAGGCCCCCTCATGGTGGCCAGTGGGTGACTTCCTCTCTGTGTGGCCTCTCTAGGGTGCCTGCGGCAGTTGCTGGACCTTCTCCACCACAGGGGCCCTGGAGTCAGCCGTGGCCATTGCCAGTGGGAAGATGCTGTCTCTGGTAAGAGGTCTCCCTCAGGGTGTTAGTGAATCATGCTGTTGGATTGGCTATCAGGTGTCCCACCCTTGTGGATGGTTGGCGTAGGAATCTCAGCCCATGCCTTTCCCTGAATGAGTTGAACCCAGGGCCTCACATGTGCCAGGCAAATGCTCTTCCACTGAGCTACATCCCCACCCAAGAATAAGGCTTTTTGAGAAATGGCCCCTCTTTTTTCTGGGCGGATCTGGTAGTCCTCAGGTTCCTCAGTTGGGCAGCTGGGGCCTTCACCAAGCAGGGGCTGAGGAAGTAGAGCCCACTGAGAGACAGCTCTCCAGAAGTTGTGCCCCATCCCAGGCTACCTGGGTTACCTTCCAGGAGGGAAGAGCCAGGACCCACAAGAGTGAGGGGCAAGAGGCTTGAGGAGCTGTGCCAGCCCCACCTCTGTAGGGAGAGGAGAAGGGGAGGGCTTGTGTCGAGGAGGGGTGGGCAGGGTCTCTGGACGGGCCTGTCCCCTCCTGGCACACACCAGGAGCCCCTGCGATCCTACCCCTGTGCCCACGCATGCCCTCGCACTGCCCCTGCAGCCTGCTGGCTGGTACTTCATAACACAAAGATGTCCCTGCTCTGGGGAGCTCATCATCTGGCCCTTTTGACACAGTGCCAATCGGGCCAGATGCAGGGAGGATGTGGCCATGGGCCCACCCACTGGGTCTGTGCTTCTTCCTGTAGGCCGAGCAGCAGCTGGTGGACTGTGCCCAAGACTTCAACAATCACGGCTGCCAAGGGTATGTCCCCACCCTGCCCCGGAGAGGCCAGAACCCCTTCTCTCCCTCCAATCACTATCACATTCATGACCCACTCCAGGCCTACGTAGAGCAAGGCAGTCTCCCTCTGTGGAGGGTCTCAACTAGAACGGAGCAGTTTAGACCTTGGCGCCCAGGCCTGTCTGGTCCTAAAGTCCACACCCTGTCCAGCACCTCACCAGCCAGCAGGGCCCCTAGGAGTGTGGCCAACAGCACTGAGAGTATGAGAAGCCCTTCAGGGCATGTCACCCTCCATAGCTGAAAGAACAAGGCTCATCCTTGGCCTTTGGACTCAGTCTCTGGTGCCAGCTGCCCCAGCTCACTGGCCCCAAGAGGGAGTTTTGCCAGTGTGGTGATGTGTGTGCATGTGGTGGCCCTCTCTTACAGTGGGGTGTTCGGGATTCCCTCCCATTTCTCCCCAGGTGCTATGCTCAGACATTTCTGTGGGTTTGGTCGGCTTCCCTGGCACATAATACACATAAAGCCAGCCCCTTGGCATCCCGGGCTCAGTTCCCCTCTAGCATCCTTGCCCCTTTCTGGTCCAGGCCCTGCTCTGAGCTCTTTCTCCTCTAGGGGAAGAAACAGCAAACAGTAGGGCCTTGCAGAGAGCTGTGCTGGCCACATGCTGGGGTTCGGGGGTGTCTGCTACTACAGACCCACCCCCTTCCCCTGCTCTCTTCCCACTTTGTGTCTATTTCCTCTGGGCAGCTTTATAACACCCATAGTGTAAGGTGGACCCTGTAGTCCAGCATGCCTCACTCCTGTGAACTCAGGCAGAACCCAGGCCCGATGCCAGGCATGTCATAGGTCAGGTGGTGACACTGCTGTAGAGAGAACATGGAAGGGACAATGGCATTGCTGAGCAGTGGGTGTTTGTACTCTGGGTGACATCATGACGCTGGAGAAGACACCTTGGCCACTAGAGCCTAACTTTAGCCCCGTGGACCTGGGCACTGAGTTCAGCTGCTTGAGCCTCAGGAAGTAGCATCAAGTCCACCTGGCGCAGGTTGAGGGGCCAGCCCTTCATGTTTGTGGAGCTCCTGTCCTGTGCAGGCCCCATCCTGTTGGCCCCCTGAGGGACTCACAGCAGGGTCTGGTCTCCAGGGTTCCGTCAAAGAGTGCATGGCTCACCCGGCAAATGGGGCAACACAGCTGGCCTCTCTGAGACCCACAAAACCTAGCAGGCCAGGCCAGAGCAAACTATTCAAGCTTTGCCCCTGGGACCCACCTCTGCCTGCCGGGCTGACCCAGGGGCTCATGTGTGCTCCCCCTTTTCATAGGGGTCTCCCCAGCCAGGCCTTCGAGTACATCCTGTACAACAAGGGCATCATGGGCGAAGACACCTACCCCTACGAGGGCAAGGTAATCTGTGAGCCTCCGCTACCTCCTCCCCTCTCCACTGCACCCAGGGCACCACAACACCTTTCCCCCACCGCCCTGTGCCTCATCCTGCTGGTATTCCAAAAGGTCTGCACTTCTTTTTTCTTGACCATGCTAGAGATTGAACCTAGGGCTTCATACGTGATAGGGAAAGTGTTCCACCATTGAGCAACACCATTTATTTTATTTTGAAACAGTGTCACTAAGTTGCCCCAGGCTGGCCTTGGATTTACGATCCTTCTATCTCAGCCTCTCAAGAAGCTAGGTTACAGGCGCATACTAGGCCTGCTAAAATTGTCTGTACTTCTCCACGAAGCCATTCCTTTGCCTCATCTGCCTGTTTGAGCCCCTCCCCCACCAGGGGCCTCTGTCAGCCTTGCTCCCTGGTTCCCTCTCTCCTCAGAACCCATCACCCAGCCTGCTGTTTCCTCCTGGCCCCCTCCTGTTGTGTAAGGGGCTGACACTGTGACGTCCTCTGCCCAACATCCACACTGCCCAAACCCACTGTCCTTCCCCCAATCCTGCAGCCCCTCCTGCATCCCCTCCCAGTGAGAGCAGCTCCACCCTCCTCAGAACCAGTTAGGCTCCACGGGTCCAGTCCGGAGCAGCCTGCTGGGCATCACAGAGCTTCTCACATGGCTCCCTTGGCTCCACTCAGCCTTTGGCCTCCGTCAGTGACAACGAGCTGGCCTTCCTTGGCCTTCCTTACCCTGCTCTTCCTCCCCCTGCCCATCTCCATCTCATCTCCCCTCATAGCGCTGTGCTCAGGCCCAGCCACGCACTGGTTCCCAAACACCAGACTGGCGTCCCTCTGGTCCTGTGACCTCTGCATCTGCTCCTGGTCAGGATTGCTCCTGGGCTGAGGGTCTGCCCTCCCCACCACCCAGGCTCTTGCTGCTCCATTTCTGTCAGTCTCCTCCCCGAGCTCCCACCCAGCATTGTGCATGCCAGGGCTGTCCCCTGCCCCAGACTCTGAGCTCCGTAAGAAAAGGGGGCCTCAGATTCTGGCTATAATGACCTGTTGCCAAGGCCAGGTGCACATTGCACATAGTTTCCACTTAATACATGCTATCAATGGCGTGGGGACTCAATTCTTGCCTTTGGCACGGAGTCCCTAACCTGTGTCCCATGCCCTTTGCTGCCCTGAACAGGACGGTCATTGCAGGTTCCAGCCCCAGAAGGCCATTGCGTTTGTCAAAGACATTGTGAACATCACGCTCGTGAGTCCTGGGTCCTTCTCTGGACTGGGGCAGGGGTATGTTCTGATGGGGAGACCCTAGCAGCAAGTTCCTGTGACTAAGGAGCCAGGCTTCCCACTGACTCATTGCCATGGTGGCAGCAGGGGAAGATGAGAGGAAATCATGCTGACAGGAGATGCTTGGCTCTGCACGCCCGATCTATGCACATCTTCATGTGTGTGGTCGTTTTCTCATCTGTAAAATGCAAGCCACAGACCCCACACTGGGAAGAGGCCATGAGCCTACACACTGCATGTGAGTATTGGTCAGGAAGAGCTGGGTCCTGCCGCAGTCACAGCCAACCCAGATCTGAAGAGCTCTCAACAAAGGCCACATCTCAGCCTGCAGCCTGCCCATGGCCTGGGCAAAACTGGCCATATTCTGTATTGTGGGCCTTGCTCTAGAGCCCAGGCTAGGGGAAAGAGTGGTGAATTCAAAAAAGAGGAGCTGCATAGTCACACCTCACCTCAGGCCTGTGGAGAATGCAGTTGTCCCTGCCTTTCAACAAGAGAGCAGGCTTGAGTGTGTCTGAGTGGCCCTCATGACTCCGGTGTGAGTGTGCAGTGGGGAGGAAGTGCGAGAACTCCTCCACAGGTGTGTGTACGTGTGATGTGGGCCAAGGAGAAAGGGAGGTGAGGAATGTTTGCCCAGGAACATCTACGCAGGTCACAAACATGCCGTCTCTGTAAACAGCACTGCCATTTAATTGCAGCCTGTGCCAGGCACTGGGCAGTAATAACAAGATTAAGTTTATAAGGTACTTACAGAAGTGAACCACGTACTTGACATGCAGTATCTTGCAAATCAAAATAACCCTAGGAAATGAGTGCAGTCATGACCTTCATTTTATAGGAGAAGAAACAGGCTCAGGGAGGTTAAGTAATGTGCCCAATGGCATGAAATTAGGATGTGGAGGATGGATTGGAACTGAGATCTTGTCATTCCAGAATCAGGACTCATTGCCTAACCATAGACAGCCCACACTAATAGCAAAAAGCCAGTTTCTCCAACAGTCACCAAGGCTGAGCATTCTGTGCCTGTGACCCACTGAGATATGAATAGCAGCTCCAGGTGTCCCCTTGCCAGGTCTCCAGGGGAGCCTCGCCAGGGCTGCTGGAGTCTGCAGGCAGCCTGGGTGGCCCCCCCCTCCTGACCTACCCTCCCTGGTCTTCATCCACTCAATCTGGCCCAGTGGTTCCTGACTAGAATGGTCCTACCCAACCAGAGCCTGGTCTGGGTGCAGCTGGACAAGGAGAGCCTTGAAGGTGGTTTTACCTGCTGCTTACCTGGCCTCTGCAGCTTCATTCCAAAGCTGCCGCCTCCCGAAAGCTGCCAGGACTCCCTCCCTACCCTGACAAGGGGCAGGTCGCATGCAAAAAGCACCCAGCCTCTGCCTGGCCTTCTCCCATTTCTCCCACCATCTGGGGCTTATCTGTTGTTGGATTTATACATTGCCTATTCTACCAACAAAGTTCCACAGATTGGTATTGTATGTGTAGGGAGTCCAGGGGGGCAGGAATAATAAGGTGTCACACCCCTCTCCCACCCTCAGAGCCCCTGGGCCAGGACAGGCTGTTGTATCCACTGTGGTAATGAATGAGTCCACCCTGCGGCCAGAGCAAGGGTGTGGAGAGGAGACAGGAGATGGCAGACCAATCCCCCCATGAAGGGAGAAAGAAAGGACTGTTAAACAAAATCCCACCCACAGGATCGGGCACCACAGAGAAGGTGTGGCCCACCTGGAAGTACACAGGACCCAGGGCCTGGTCTGGGCGGAGACAGCCCCTTGCAGTGCCCATGGGGGGTCTTGCTCAGTCCCAGTCATCGACACTGCTCTGGATCTCAGCCCTAGACCATGGGCCACAGGGCCTTATTTTGCAAGTGGGGTGGGAGGTGACAAAGGCCCTGTATGTCCATCTCACAGAATGATGAGGAGGCCATGGTGGAGGCAGTAGCCCTGTACAACCCTGTGAGCTTTGCCTATGAGGTGACCGAAGACTTCATGTCATACAAAAGAGGAATCTACTCCAGGTGAGCAGGTCCCAGGGGGCAGCAGTGGATGGGGAAGGCTGGGTGGCCCCAACACTGGCACCAGGGCCTTGGGGTCTGCCCACTCCTGGTCAGACCTTTCTGAGGTGCCTGCTGTGGTGGTCAGTCCCCATGTCCCTTGGTTTTTCCTCACATAATCCCGAGGATGGGTACCAGACTCCATCTTAGAACAGGAGAAGGTCAAGAAGACTCAAAGCCTCAGCCACACAGCTAATGCTGCTCAGTTAGGATTCATGTTCAGACCTCCAAAGATGGAAAGCAAGGAAGAGAAAACAGCTGCTCCCAAACACTGGATTCCTGTGCTGGAGGATTCACCAGCAGGTTCTCTAGGAAAAAAACAAAGCTATTAGGAGTCTTTAGTTCTGGTTTGTTTTTCTTTTGCAATGCTGGGGATCTGACTCAGTGCCTCCTGTATGTCACACCCAGCCTCCTCAGAATTCTTAATACAGGGTTTTTCTCAGCCAGACGTGGTAGTGAGCACCTATAATCTCAGCACTCAGGAGGCTGAGGTAGGAGGAATGCCATGAGTTCAAGGCCAGCCTGGGCTCAATAGGAAGACCCTGTCTCAAAAAACCAAAAAAGAAAAGCAAAGAAAGCCCAGGGCTTCTCGTAGCCACTGCCCCTTTGCTTCCCAGCATGTCTTTCACCCACTCCTTGTTTTCTAGCATCCCTGCAATGGCAGCACTCTCCAGGGCTTGTGCTCAGCTCTCTTCCTAGTTCTCAGATGCTTCGCAGATGGATGCCTGCCGAGAGCTTCCAAAGCCCACCAGGCCTCTGCCACCTCACCCTGGATGGCCCTGGAAACCTCAGTCCTGCGCCTCTCCCCCACCCCCACCCTCCCTTGCCATGTCCGTGTCCAGGTTAACAGGGTCACCTCCAGGCTGTTGCACAAGGGGAGCCAGAGCCCAGCGGGGGCCGCCTCTCTTCCCCGGCCCTGCCTCCTGGTTATGTGCTCACGCCTGCACTCTCCTCCAGCTGCCTCCTTCCTGCTTGTCCTGAACTTTCCCCCAGCACAGCGGGTAGCCAGAGCCCACTTCCAGACACACACCTCTGGCCACACTAATGTTCAAACCCTGGGGCCAGCCAGACTGGGGACCCTAGTGACCCGGCCCCCTCCTTTCCCCATGCTCTTCTGCATCAGACCCTTCTCTGTCTCCTCCAGTCCCACCCTGCAGCCTGCACCCCAACCACATGGAAGGGTCTGTGGTCTCTTAGTGTCCCCTGCCCCTCACCTCACTGGGTTGGGGCTCCCACACCCTCCCACTACCCAGCCCCCAGCCTGCTGCACAGAGGTGGCACTTTGCCCATCAGTTCACTGCCAAAAGAGCCTTCCCAAGGACAGGAGAGAGGTGCCCACTGAGCACCCCCTGGCACCTTGCCCATGCTAAGCCCAGGTTGGTGGAATCCACACGTGACCCCTGCATTGGGTCCTCCTGGCTTCCTGGGATTTCCTCCAGGAAGCTACTTGACTGCCCCCAATGAAGAGCCTGCACATTTGCCATAAATACAAGGTGACCTTTACGGAGAGCCCAGGAATTAGTCATATAGGGGGGAAAGATGTAACTCCCAATCCTGCTAGGTATCCAAAACATGAGCTTGTGTTCTCTAAAATCAAAAAATGAATTCTAGGAACAACAGAGGTTAAGAGTAGGAAAATTTATTGAGAGAAAAAAACCTTGTTGAGAGACAAAAGGGGGACTGGAAAGTGGGTTGCCCGCTCACCCAACTTCTCAAAGGCATTTTATGGGACAAAGCTATGAGGTGAGACAGGTTCAAGGTGGGACAAAACCATGGTCAACTAGTAAGATTACAAGTGCAGTCACTTAGATAATATTGATCCAATGAGAAATCACAAGGTGGACAAAACTATCAACAACCAATAAGGTTATGACAGTATAGTTGCTTAGGTAATACTGATTAAATGGGGATCCAATGGGGGAACAATTCATATAGCAAGCAGACAAGGAATGAGCAAGGATTTTCAGTGGTAAGGTGTGGGTCAGGGATCTTTCCTAGAAGATCTTGGTCCCCCACCCAGATGACTGATACCTATTTACAATATCAATCACTCCTATTTATCCTACAAGGGTGTGGTAGTTTCTTCTTTTACAATGGTGGCCTTCAGTGAATGTCTTGATTGTCCTCCATGTTGTCTCCTTGACTGTCCTCCATATTGGCTCCTCTTGGGCTGGCCCAGTCTAACTGCCTACAAGATATCTAATTAACTGGGGCTGGGGATTTAGCTCAGTGGTTCTGCAGCCTGCCTTGCAAGGACAAGGACCCGAGTTCGATTCCCGGTACCAAAAAAAAAAAAGATATCTAATTAACTTACCTATCTGCAATACTAGCACAGCGGTGTGGACTGCAGGTATGTAGCAGGAGGCGCCCCTCTGTGGGGAGGCTGGAGGCATTCAGCACCACAGTGACTTCCCACACCAGGACACACTGAAAGTACCAAGAACAAAAGTAACAGCTCTTTACCACTGATCTGCTCTACCCCCATGTGGACATGTGGCTCCAAAGCCCTCCATGGCTGTTTTCTTTCCATATTACCAATATTTTTTTTATCTTATTTCTAGTACTTCCTGTCATAAAACTCCAGATAAAGTGAACCACGCAGTACTGGCTGTTGGATACGGAGTAGACCATGGGGTACCCTACTGGATTGTGAAAAACTCCTGGGGCACACAGTGGGGAAACAATGGGTAAGCAGTTCAAGTCCCTTGCTGGGTTAGGGGCTGATGCCAGGGCCTGGAGGCCTGGGTAGGGGAGCAGCTGTTCCTCCATCTGATTATGGCTTCCGGGAGGAGCTGGTCAGGGGGAGCCTGATGATGCACCCTCCATCCTCTTCAGGACCCTAGGTCCTTCTAGGGAACAAGAGGCCAGTTGGCTCAGTAGGATCTATAGCCACTTCTGGGAAACAGCTCAGAACTCACAACGCTGCTGGAACTGAGCCAATCTGTGGTGGTTCTGCCTCTGAGAAATCAAAGCAATACATGTGTCCCTGACCATTAACAGCTCCTCCTTTGAGAACAAAAGGCTGAAATCAGGTGTGCATATATTCATGTGACTGTCTCCCTCTCAGACTCTGTGCCCTCACCTGAAAAAGGAGAGTGTCATTGTCACTAGGAACTCCTATTCATGATTAAATGGCTATGTTAGGGCTCAGCCAGGTATCAGAAGGAGACCTCAGACAATCCTGGAGAGAGTGGTATATGGATAGAATAAATGAGATGATTTGGCAACCAAGGAGGAGGAAGAATAAATTAAGTCAGGTAATTTCATGGTGATAAAATAAGCCCAATGGTACCATTATATGAATAAATTTAGAGGACCTAATCCCTGGAGTCAGGTCTTGGTGGGCAAGAGAACATTGCAGAATATTCTTGTGAGGACACCAACAGCCAAACTCTTCTCTGCTCAGGTACTTCCTCATCGAGCGTGGGAAGAACATGTGTGGCCTGGCTGCCTGTGCCTCCTACCCCATCCCTCAGGTGTGAGTCAGGGTGAGAGCAGCTGGCCTCGTGCCCTGGACAGGTGGGGATGTCATGTCCACCCAGAAGCCCCTTACTTGCCATCCTCACCCCTGTTCTGAGGAGTCCCTGCACCAGGTCTTCTGATGGATACCATCACCAACCGTTTGCCTTACCTGTGGTTTTCAATGGACTCAAGCCCACGTGGACGGAGAATATTCTTTCTCTCCAGAGGAGCCACTTCCATGTGTGCAGAGCTCCAGTGATCATATTTTCTATATCCTTTGTTCAATAAATGTTCGGGACCAGTCACAACTCAGACTAGAGGAGGCGTCGAGGGTTGGGTGCTGTGGGTGCTGGTTTCACTCTGCCAGATGGATGGAAAGGGTCTGACTGCCCCAGATGTGGGAGGGAGGAGGGGGTCATGGAGGAGAGGACACACCAGGGTCTGGTCAAACTAGGACAGTCCTGAAGCCCATGCCTCTCCAGGTGCCCTCCCCAGTCTCCACTTGTTACTTCTCTGCAGACTGCACCCTGCACCTCCCCTTCTTGTCCCTTCCTCACCAAGGCCTTTCTGGAATGTCCAGCACTGTTCGTCACCTCCACCACAGCCACACCTGCAGGATGTGTGCATGCAAAGCTGTCCTGCGGGTCAGACTGTCTTAATGACAAACTGTTATTTGGCCTCCTGGAGAGCTAAAAGCTTGAGAATATTTGAGAGAGGAGCATTCATGGAAAAGCTTATAAAACACAAGTGTGGTTTGTTAGGGAATTCTAATACCTTAAAACACCCCAACTACATGTGAAAACAAAATTATCTTAGTCGGGCATGATGCACCTATAATCCCAGCACTTGGGAGGTCAAGGCAGGACTATAAGACCTTGTCTCAAAAAACATGGGGCAGGCGTGGTGGCTTACACCTGTAATCCCAGCACTTGGGAGACAGAAGCAGGAGGATTGCTTCGAGTTCAAGGCTAGCCTGGGCTACGCAGCGAGTTCGGGGCCAACGAGATCCCTTCATAGATTTAACAGTAATTGGATGAAATTCTGTTCTGGAGTTTAAAAACTAACACGAAATGGAAACATATTGGAAGCATTCCCAAATCACACTGATCTAGGGATGATACAGTGGAAATAGATATAACTTCCACCCTGCTAGATGTCTGATGCGCCGAGTTCATGTTTTCTAAAACTGAAGAATGAATTCTAGGAACACAGGTTACCAGTAGGAAATATTTATTGAGGGACATACACCTCCTGCCTGAGGGACAGGAGGGTACCTGGAAAGTGGGCTGCCAAGGACTCCACTCACAGGGGAGGCTTTAAAAAGCAGAACCACGAGGTGGGTACCAGCTGGGACAAAACTAACAAATGGCACAGAGGGATGAGACCACCAGAGCAGGCTAGAGAAAGCAAAGAGGTACAGACTTTATTCACCTGCAAGGGGTGGACTGACAGCAAGCAAAGAGGCTGTCAGCTCCAAACAAAGGAAGGAAGCTTTACAGGGCACTGGAAGAGAGGTCCGGCATGTCTATCCCATTTAGGGGTCAGAGCAAATATTTGTGGTCAAATCCATGCAACAATCAAGGCAGAGGTATGGATATCTTCAGGTGACTTGGCATTAAAAAGATGGTATACTTTGTAGTTGTTATCTCTATGTTGGAAACATCCCGTCCTATATTCTGTGTTCTATCTGCTCTGAGATAGCACAGCTTTCGCGGTGGAGACAGTACCTGCATTGGGTGTTTTGCTTGTTTTTCTCGTCAAACTGTATCTTGGAATTAAAGAGCACACTCATTAACCACTTCACAACCAGGTCAAGCCTGACAAAAATATGACCAGCCAATAAGGTTACAAGTGTAGTTGCTTAGGTAATACTGACTCAAAGGGGAAGCAAGTCACATAGCAAGTGCACACGGAAAGAACAAAGACCCTTCCCAGACCCTTCCCGGTCCAGAGATCTTGGTCCTCCGCCCAAGGGAATTGATGCCTGTTTAGAGTATGAATCATTGTTCATCCCTTGGGGAAGTACATAAGTGGTAGGTGTCGTCATTTCATCTTTATCTTGAAGCCTGGCCTTCAACGAAAGTGCCTCCAGCCACAGTTGTAATCTGTTATCTTCACTGACTTCTTACAAGGCCTAGCCCTGTCTGACACCCTATAATATTTCTAACTAACTTAGTTGTCTATAATAACCCTGTCAGCAGCGTAAAAAGAGCCATCATGGGCAGATGGTGCTGCATGCCCCATGCTGATTACAGTGAGTCTAGGTGGCTTTTTTTCCCAAAAAAACGTTCTCAAGCTTTTACCTCTCCGGGAAGCCCAAATATAACACAGGTTTTGTCACTAAGACAATCTGACCTGCAGGACAAAGTGCAGAGGCACAAAGCTCTGGCTCCATCTTCAACGGCCCCACAGTTTAGGACTAATGAAGAGCTCAGAAAGTGGCTGGTTGTCATATGCAGTCAGGAAAAAAAGAAAAAAAAAACCTCAGAAGAAAAATATTTTAAACAACGTTGCAACAAAACTAGTACCCACAGCCGGGGATTTAGCTCAGTGGTTCCGCTGCCTGCCTTGCAAGCGGAAGGACCCGAGTTCCATCCCAGGTACCAAAACTAGTAGCCAGCAATTACCACCAAGGGGTGGGGGTAGGGATCTTATACGAAGAAAATTATTGAATTACAAAAAACTATACAGACAGACAAATTGAGAGGCAAACTGATACAGGGTAAGAGACGTAACTTCCAAATCTGCTAGATATCCAAAACGCCAAGTTAGTGTTCTCTAAAATCAAAGAATAAATTCTAGGAACAACAGGTTAAGCATAGGAAAAATGTAAGGGCCAGGGATAAATTGTAAAAGTAATAATAAAAATAAAGGAAAACTTAAGTAAGAAAAAATTTATTGAAAGATAGCTTCTGTCTAGGAGAGACAGAAGAGGGACCGGAAAATGGGCTGCCTGCCAACCCTGCTTCTCAAAGGTGTTTTTTTGTTGTTGTTGTTTTTGGTACTGGGGATCGAACTCCGAACTCCGGACCTCGCACTTGTGAGGCAGGTGGCGGAAGCACTGAGCTAAATCCCTGGGCCTCTCAAAGGTGTTTTATGGGACAAAGCCACGAGGTGAGGCTGGTTTAAGGTGGGACAAAACTACAGTCAACTAGTAAGATTACAAGTGCAGTTGCTTAGGTAATACTGATCCATTGAGAAATCGCAAGGTGGACAAAACTATGACCAACCAATAAGATTACAGTCGCTTAGGTAACACTGATTAGATGGGGATTGGGGCGGGGGGGGGGGATGCAAGTCACTTAGCAAGCATACAAGGATTTTCAGTCAGGGACCTTTCCTGGAAGGGGTGGGTGGGTAAGATCTTGGTCCCCCACCCAGGTGATTGACAGCTACTTAGAGTATCAAGCACTGCTATCCATCCTTAGGGGAAGCACTGGGGTGTGCTAGTTTCTCTTCCTTTACAATGCTGACCTTCAGTGAATGTGTCCGGATTGTCTTCCTTGTGGGCTCCTTGCAGGATGCCTCTGTCTAACTGCCTACAAGATAATTAACTTACCTATCTACAATAAAACCATATTCTTGAATGGGAGGATTAACATAAGTTAAGTCTTAACAGAAATAAAAATACAAGTTTGGTACATTTCCTAACAAAAATTTCAATAGCTTTTTCTCTGTGTGTGTGGTTTGTGTGTTTTCTCTTTACCCAAGGTAAAGGCCAAGTCACTAGGATTTTATAAAGGAGTAGTGAGAATGGATTTTTTCACATTAAAACAAAATATCAACCTTTAAAGCCATGTATAGTAATTAAAAACACAGGGTTAGGGCTGGGGGATAGCTCAGGGGCAAAACACTTGCCTAGCATTTAGAAGTTCAATAGCACCGAGTTCAATAGCAGGGCAAAAAAACAAAACAGAAAACAAGAATAGACAGAAACCACATAGTCTAAAAAATGACAATTCATGAGCAGTAGATTTATTTTTACTACTCGGTAAAAGGTGCCAGGAAACAGCTGTTTGGAATGAATTCAACCTAAATATTCACACACCACCTTCTGTATTAAGTAAAGCTTTTTATCTAAG